GTTAGAGACAAGTGACGTCAACCTCAACAATGGGCAGCAGCGGGCGTGAGAGTACCGCGGTACGCCACGAGAGTTTCGCGATACGTATCGTGGTTGGTGTAACGCGATATTTCGGTTCGGTTTTAATATCGTTACACCCCTAATATATATATATATATATATATATATATATATATATATATATATATATATATATATATATATATTATATATATATATATAGATTATATATATATAGATATATATTATATAGATATATATTATATATATATATATAGACAGTGTCCAATGTCCCAAAAAGTATGAACAATACAAGAACAGTACAAGAAATATCCAAAAATAAACAAAGTATCAAATCAATAAAGCAAATATATTCACGAAAATCTACTACTCAAAACGATCAAATCAAAAGTGGTAACCACTGTATACACATATCAAAATATCTACTTATAAAAGAAAATGCTCACAGCTCTGCCACACCACGCTCGCTAGCAAGGTGAAACTGAAACCTAAATCCTGGCCAAATTTACCCACTGGCCTTGGTCCATCATGGCTTTTTAACCATCCCCATTTCATAATTGGCTTTATCATTCTGTCTCCTCTTCACCATTATCTGAATTTTTCCTACAAGTAAAATTTGTAATTTTGGATGCAAACATTACTGTTGATGTAAGTGGTGCTTTGTTCACAAATGTTTCATGCGAAATTCCAAAAGACCCCAGTTAGTGCCCTGTGTACAATACGCAGACCACAACCTTTGGAGGCATTTAATGAAATGACAGCAAATTATCATCAAATAACAAAGGATAAAGGAATGTTCGGGTTTAAAACAAGTTAAGCTTCAGCTTAAAGCACACATTACTCCGAACAAAGCAACACTTTCAATGATTCAGTCGACATTCTCTTATCTATTGTTCCCGCTGTTCAACTTTTCTTCAGGACTCAGCTGGAATGAACCTGAAAATACAGCTGTGGACGGCGAACGTTATCAGATAGAATACTGGAGTCCGCTAATCTGATGGTTCGCGGCACAATGGGTTTATAATAGAGACGATGACAGCTCGCTGTTTTTGTAAAGATGGGGGATGAGGAACTGAATGGGGCATTAAGGTCTATTCTTGATTCCATTCTCCGAGCTCCTGACAACATTTGCATCACAAAAAGCTCAATCACGGCCTAATTTTTTTCCGTCTGAGGTGGTAATGATAGAGCGCCTCTCCGAAAGCTGTGTTAGGTGACAGATGCTTTTCATATTACGACGCAAAACTCTTTGTCTGGCTTGCCGGCGCTCCATCAGGCAGCATAAACACTCTCCGAGCTCTTTAACGCGTCTCGGCTCGGCTCTGTCATTAGTCTGGATTGACAGCTGCTTCGGTAATGCAGTGCTAGGGGTTGCTGACCTCTCCTGTCCTCATCCCCTACACCATCAGGCAGATCTGTGACCTGTGAAATTACTCCAGCTATCAAATCTCACCCAATCAGTGGCAGACCGGCACACACTCACACACGTGTGTTATATTACTTTAGTGGCGGAAAGAGCAATATGGATGATGCGCAATCTGATAGTTTCATTGGGCCTCATTCACGTGCATGTGGGATCACATATGGGTCCTCAAAGGCTGTCACGCAACCTTCAGCAGGTAAAATCGTGTGTCATTTTTTCTTATTCATATTTAATTTATTCATTAATCAGGATTTGGTGAATGATGGTTTGGTGTTAAGCGAAATGCATGCTTAAGTATATAGAAAAAAATAAATAATAAAATGGTTCATTAAAATGTCTTGTTGCTGTAGTTTTTTTTCACTACTTCTACTACACTATAAAAAACTGATGTGTTCCACACAATTCCTCCTTGTTGTCACAACACAAATCAGTTAAGTTAACTTAATAGTTTTAATTATTATTATTTTTTTTTTACAAATTTAAGTGGACTGAACATGAAACAACAAAGTTGCCCCAACAAAAGCTTAAAAATTGTGTTGTTTCAACAAATTTTTGATTAGTATTTTTTGAATGTGCGACAACTGCTACTATTACTACTACTACGATGTTGACGGATGCCTAACACTACTACTACGAAGACAACATACAACTACTGCTACAACAAAGACGACTACTATGACGACGAAAATGACGACTACGTATTATTATTATTATTAATATGTATAACCAGCCCAATCTGATGAGGAATTGTAGCTATTTTACGTATTGGCTGAGAAGTGGCTAATTCGTACAAATTCATATAATTTCATTCGTATGATTTTTAAAAGGAGGCTTGCCTCAAACCCCACCCTCATTGGTGGATGACCAAATTGTACTAAAGTGTATGAAATCAGATTGCAACTTTTAATCATTATCACTACTACTATACTGAAAAAAATTATGTTAGCGAAATTGTTGCAAATAATTTATATGTGTTAAACTTAAATTGTTTGTTTAAATTCAGCCCAAATAAATTGTCCACAACCACTTAACTTAAAAAGTAGTGAATGCGAGGAATCATCTTTGAATATTTTTTTTTCAGTGTACACTGTAAAAACTGCTGGGTTTCACACATTTCCTTCATGTTGTACCAACACAAATTGATTAAGTTAACTTAATTGTTTTTACAAATTTAAGTGGAGTGAACATAAAACAATTATGTTGTCCCAACAAAAACTTAAAATTGTCATTTCAAATTATTTTAAATAAGTTGTTTGAACAAGCAACAGAGCACTTTTTTGAATGAATGATGACGACGATCACCACTACTGCGACAATGACTACTAAGACGACGACTATGACAATGACAACAAATACTACTATGACTACGACGACAATTATAACTATGACTGCTACTACTATGACTACAACTACTATTACGACTACGATTATGAAGACTATAATGACGATGACTACTACTACACAAATTTTTATCTGTTTTTATCTGTTTTTAACTACTTTTATTATTTGCTTTTATTTACCTATATTTGTCCCTTTTATTCCTGTTGTAAAGCACTTTGAATTGCCACTGTGTAGGAAACGTGTTATATAAATAAACTTGCCTTGCCTTGCCTTACGACTACTACTACATTGACAACTACTACTACTACGTAAAAACTACTACTACGACTACTACAACATTGATGACGATGACTAAGAATTATTGTTATTATTATGTATAACCAATCCAAACTGAGGAGAAATTGTAACTATTTTAAATATTGGCAGAAAAGGGGCTAATTCATACATATTCATACAATTTCATTCATTAATTAATTTATTTGTTTTCTTTAGAGCTTAGTCCCTTAATTATTCTGGGATCTCCACAGTGGAATTAACCGACAACTTTTCCAGCATATGTTTTACGCAGCAGATGCTTCCAGCTGCGACACATCCATTTACATCCATACACACTCATTCACACACATACACTACGGGCAATTTAGCCAACCCAATTTTCCTGTACCGCATGTCTTTGGACTTGTGGGGGGAACCAGAGCACCCAGAGGAAACCCACGCAAACACAGGGAGAACATGCAAACTCCACACAGAAACGCCAACTGACCCAGCCTAGGCTCGAACCAGTGACCTTCTTGATGTGAAGCAAACGTGCTACCCACTGCGCCACCATGCAGCAACATACAATTTTATTTGTATGACAAACACAATTTTTTTAAAAGGAAATGTGCCACGAAACCATACCTTCATTGGGGGATGACCAAATCATACAAAAATGTAAGAAATGAGATGCACAAATGAATATAAAATACTCTAAATAAAAAAGTTACGAATTGCCATGAAATTGCATTGGTATAACTTTTTTCTACTTTTACAAAACACATTTATAAAAGAAGTGATAATATGTAGCAACTATTGTAACTAGACATAAATTACTCAAACCTCAACCAAAATATAAATAGCATTCCAATTCCTGACTGAAAGCATTGACAGTGCAGCAGTCGGTACCTTCAAAACTTTCGCAAACCTACAATAATGACTTTCTTTTACTGACTGTATCTGTTGAATGAAACTTTTAAAACCTCATAATTATGTTGTAACGGCACCGAATTAAAAGGAACAAAATTACTGTACTTTCTCCTAATAAGAGAGTGTAAAGCTGATCTGAACCTCCAACATTAATATTGACCATTTGGATTAAATCAAACCAAAAGCCACCATTAGCGTTTCGCACAAATAATAGGAACCAGGAGGAAACGTCAAGAGCCTTAATGTTAATATTTGTGACACTGAATATTCATGGTCCCTCCCAAAACTCGCATCCAATTACATGTTTGTATTATCGATGTTCATGCAGCCGGCATGAATATGCATGGTCCTTTTGTTTCAGAGGCTGTCAGTCTAATCCACTGGGGAAGAGAAAATGCAAAAGATCTGTAGAGGAAATTATCACTCAATAGTGACCAAAACACCTGTTGCAAGACATTGTATGTTTTAACACACACAATAGGAGCTTTGAAGTGCACACAATGGTGACAACATTCTCAATAAGTTGGCAAATTTGGATAAGGTTCAGTGGCACTATTCTAATGACAACCAATATTAGCAGTTTCATTATCAACCAAAAGCAGCAAACATGAATTTCTTGTTTTCAACAGAGATGATTCAAACAATCTGAAATAATACCCAATATAATAACACAATGTCCAACAAAACAGTGACAACTTTTTCCCCCATACTCTTTAAGCCAACATTTGTGTTATCTATGACATTTCCGAAGACATTATCTTCCCAGCTAGCGTGATAATTCAAAGCGATAAAAGCATATTCAAAGGCATTCTGTCATAGCACATTTGTATTCTGTAGAAGTAGGGCAGAAAATCACTGATATAAATACTGTCATACATATTTATTCCAATGAATATTCATGATGCATGTTATTTGTTGAAGATAAGATTGTAAGGTCAATTATCTCAGTGTGGAAAACACTAGGGTACAAACTATTTCCGGTGCTAGACGAAGCATGCTGTGAATGTGTGAATGGGATATAAACGCTTACATCTGGTGACAACTCCTTCCAGTCGAATGATGTTAGGGTGGTCGAACTGGCCCATAATGCTGGCCTCGCTCAGAAAGTCGCGTCTCTGGTGTTCTGAATATCCAGCTTTCAGACTCTTGATGGCCACCTGGATCTCTCTTTTACTGGGCAGACGCAGACGGCCACTGCAGACCTCGCCGAACTCACCTGATAGGAAAACAAGAGCCTGTCAGCTAACTCAATTTCCCCCCAATCCTTCATTTTATTTCAGTACGTTCGCCTGGTGAGCTGTTCAGATGGTAAACACAACTGTAGCACATTCTTAAATTGCTATGTTGGCTTGAGAAATGTTGTCAGTATGGCAAATAAAAAAAATGGACACTATACAAACACAATTAATCTGTCAAAATGCTATAACATGCTAGCCATGTGTTAAAATATGCAAGTCTGTGGATACAAACATTTAGAATACAGACCAAATCATGTAAACAACAAATCCTTGCTGAAAAATCCAGCTTCAACCAGCCTAAGCTGGTTTTAGAGGGGTTTTGGCCATTTCCAGGCTGGTTTCCAGCCATTTCCAGCCTGGTCTTAGCTGGTCAGGCTGGGAGATGACCAGCTAAAACCAGCTTGACCAGCCTAGCCAGGCTGGGAGCCCAGCCAAAACCAGCTATGTCCAGCTTAAACCAGGCTGGTCAAGCTGGTTTTAGCTAGATTTAGCTGGTCATTTTCCAGCCTGACCAGCTAAGACCAGACTGAAAATGGCTGGAAACCAGCCTGGAAGTGGCCAAAACCCCTCTAAAACCAGCCTGGTCAACCAGCTAAAACCAGCCTAGGCTGGTTTAAGCTGGATTTTTAAGCAGGGCTGCTAAAACATGTTAGCAATATAAATCATGTAACAACATTCTTACTGGTCATAAGTAGGGCTAGTTGTGTTTATTCATGCTAGAAACAAGCTAGCATCATGTTAATTCTTACCAGCAACATGCTAAAACATAACAACAGTGAGTTTATTCATACCAGAAACATGTTAGCATCATGCTACAAACATAATAAACTTCAAGCAGCATGTAAACAAAAGGATAAATCAAGATAGCAAAATGCTATCATTGAGCTAATACACACTAGCAACGTGGTCATCATGCTAGTAAAATGTTGAAACAAGTGTATGCTGTTCTGTTCCTATAGGGCTAGCATCATGCAGTTTAGCTCCAACAAACTTGCCTATAAACATTTCTAGTGAGTCAGAAGACTATGATTAGGGAGTTCAAGTAGGGCTAAACAACATAGAAACATACTAGCAAGATTAGATAAGTCATGCAGGCAACATGCTAGCAATTTACTATATAATGCTAAATTTACTGAATCAGGTTAACATCAAAAGTGGTCATTAAACTTTAGTCTTGTAGTTTATTTTGACCTACCAGCCCCAATGACTCTTTCAATCCGAATGTTGGAGACTTCAATCTCTTTGGCGAAGTCTCGCACTGCCTGGTTCGGGTCTTCATATGTATGGGGGTGAATGTACGTACGGGTTTCAGGAAGTTTGACTGCAATTCAAGAAAACGGTAGGATTGAGGATAACGGTTGGGTTGTTTTACAGTCACTTTAGTTACCTAGACAGAACCATCCATTTTCCTAAAAGGAGGGGAGTGCCACATTTTCAACCTCATTAAACATTGTCTTTGGCAGGCAAGAAAAGTGTCATTAGAAAAAAACACACATTAGGCAACTAGAGCGATCAGAGGCATCATTTATCAGCATGAGAGACTCTACGAGTTCACTAACCAGCAATTTGCAGGAAAAAAACATGCATTTTTTATATCCACCCATCCAGCCAGAACAAATTATGTTCACAGTTTGACAGGCCAAAACAATGCAGACCATACATTTGACCAGATTTCTTAAATTATTTTTTAAACAAACTACATTAGATGTCTTAAAATGTTTAGCCGGATATATTTTTCATTCACTGAATTTTCCTTAGGCTTAGTCTCTGATTTATCAGAGGTCACCACAGTGGAATGAACCGACAACTATTACAGCATATTTTCTTACGCAACGTATGCCCTTCCAGCTGCAGCCCAGTGCTGGGAAACACCCATAAACTCACATTCACACACTATGGCCAATTTAATTTATTCAAGTTACCTATAGTGCATGTTTTTGGCCTGTGGGAGAAACCAGAGCACCCGGGGGAAACCCACGCCAACACAGGGAGAACATGCAAACTCAGAAATATGAACTGGCTAAACCAGGACTCAAACCAGCAACCTTCTTCCTTTGAGGCGAGAGTGCTAACCACTGAGCCACCGTGATATATTTTTATTTGAGTTTTTTCCAAGACAAAAAAACTGTACACCTTACCTCGTCCATGCTGAAACTGCATTTTCTCCTCCTCAGGGTCTTGCTTTGCTTTAATATATCCACAGCGCCTGGAACAATAGGATAAGCACAATTAAAATAGAAGGACACAATGGAATACTAGCTTTCTCTCACATTAATTCAACCAACCAATTCCCCAAGACAAGAAAAAGTTGATGACTGCAGATTCAATTCAACAGCGTGCATTGTATGATCACATATATCATCTTTTTACAGTGTAGTTTAACCATAATACTGTATGTCTACAGAGTACCGTTTTTCCACCTCATAAAGGATTTCACTGCTCTAATCCGCTCTTTAGCACCGAGAAAATTCAATCCTGTCACCTCTGACTTTATCATTAACTACATCATTCCTCTCACAGTGGGGTCATGAATAAGAAAATGCCCTAGATAATGAATATTCCAATACACTGGGGAGGAAAGGTGGCCAATGTAGGACTGATAATTATGTTCATTATTCATTTAATCCTCTTAGTGACACGTTCACGCATTCCCTTTTCTGTCATGTCTTTAACAAAAAAAAAAAACGTATTGGCAAAAGTGTAGTCACAGGCATTCTAGCCATAGTAATTATACAGCATGCTGAAATATGGAGAATGGCAGCAGAATGTCTACAATCTGGCATCTGATGAGAACCAGGTGGAAAGAGCCATCCTCAATGGGTTTCTAGAGGACGTTGGCTCAATAATGTGGGTGAATATCCACTTATGAATAGAAATGTGTGGTGGAGTCTCTATTGAGCTTGTAGCTGATGACAAAATACAAGTCATTTCTCCTTTAACTGGAGTGAAAAGAACGCTGCAAATAAAGCCTTTGGGGACATTCACTTAGAACTAGTTTTTGAATGAAAAAACAGCCCTGGAAAAGATCAGAATATAGGAGTCTTAAGGGTGCATTTAATGTTTTTTTAAAGTTTATCATTTTCACTTGACGCCTACACAAGTACTATGCAGTACTACGAAAAAAAAGTGATTCTGGAAAAAATTTGTGGATAGATCATAAGATATATAATGTTTTACATAATAATTGTGTAAAGCAGAAATGTCCTAGGACCCAAAGTTGGCCCGTTGTAACCTTTGATTTGGCCCACTATCCTATCTGAGAAGAGACTGAGAATTGTCCCCTCAAGTGTTTACCTGCTGTCACAGTCAGCAGCGATCTAGCCCCTGCAGATCACTAGAGAACTACAAATCTGCCGGTATATGGACTACAAGATCCAGTCATGCAACACACACACACCTGCTCCAAGTCTCCATTCCAATCATGGACTGATTACTGGACTATTTATACAGCACACAAACACACAGAAGTTGCTGAGTCTTGTTATACGTTACTGTGAATTTTATGACATGTTTTCCTTGCTTAGTCTAGTCGCTCAACTCGCGTCACAGCAGCTCAAAACACTGGATATACAAAGGTTGCACCTGCAACAAAGAGACTATCACTCGCGTGAGTCGCCAAAAAAAAGTATAAACAGTGGTCGCACCACATCTGTATGTTTTTTAGTTGCTGTGTTGGGAGTGCAGTGATCTCTCATGCCCCCCACACATTATTTACCCCTTCAATGGTTTTAGTTTGTAACCTGGATATATAACCCAGGTGCGCACTTGTGTCTTTCTCTGCTTGTAAACTCATAACACTTGCGATCGGTTCATTAGACTGGCCAGATCAGTGAGTACCGTGAGTCATTAAATGTGATTATTAGCCGATACCAATTTCTAGCTGATTGATTGGAGCAAACTTAATAAAATGTAAAAGATATACTATATTAGTTCATATAAAGCAATGTTTTCTTGTCATTTTTAAAAATTATTAAATAAATTTGCATATATATTAGAATAATATATTTACCTTTAGCCCACTAGCCTCAGTCAAGTTTGTTTTTTGGCCAATTTAAAAAAAGAATTGTGTAAATTGTGTTGGTGTAAAGGTTCCTTTAGAATGCATAAAATTCAGGAATGAGCACCATCCAGAAATGAATTTAGAATACTACCATAAACATCAGGTCAGTTCCTGAAATTAATTGTAATTACCAAACAATTGATGTAGAATTTAAATCTTATTTGGATTTAACAGACAGAATGGCAAACCGAAAGAACCACTGAATGTCAGATAGAATGATCTATAGATGGGTAAAAATAGTAAAATAAAAAACAACAGATTGAATGATATGTCAAAATGATAGATAGAATGATGACAGGATGACAAAATGGTTCACAGAAAAACACAGGATGATAAATATGGATGACAGAAGAAAAAATAGAACTAGACAGTAAAGTTCGTCGAGACAAACTTTGAGGCTGGCTTGACAAAGCCTGTTGGTAATAGTTTGTTTAATTTAAAAACAGTTTGAAAAAGTATAAGTAGCATGTTTTTAGCATGATTCTAGCATGCATTAGCATGTTTCTAGAATGGATTAGCATTGATTAGCATGTTATTAGCATGAGTGTAGTACAAATTAGCATTTTATTAGCATGATTCTAGTATAAATTAGCATGTTTGAAAAAGTTTTTTCAAAGTTTGAAAAAGTATAAGTAGCATGTTATTAGCATGATTCTAGCATGCATTAGCATGATTCTAGCATGGATTAGCATGTTATTAGCATGAGTGTAGTATAAATTAGCATTTTATTAGCATGATTCTAGTATAAATTAGCATGTTATTAGCATGCTTCTAGCATGAATTAGCATGTTACTAGCATGATTCTAGAATAAATTAGCATGTCACTAGCATGATTCTAGTATGAATTAACATACTGCTAGCATGATTCTAGTATGAATTAGCAGGTTATTAGCATGATTTTAGCATGAATTAGCATGATTCTAGTATGAATTAGCATGTTACTAGAATGATTCTAGCATGAATTAGCATGTTACTCGCATGATTCTAGCATGAATTAGCATGTTATTAGCATGATTATAGTATGAATTAGCATGTTACTAGCATGATTCTAGCGTGAATTAGCATGTTATTAGCATGATTCTGGCATGCATTAGCATGTTACTAGCATGATTCTAGTATGAATTAGCATGTTATTAGCATGATTCTAGTATGAATTAGCATGTTACTAGCATGATTCTAGTATGAATTAGCATGTCACATAGCATGCTTAGGTGGTTGCTAGGGTATTCTGAGTGGTTGCTAAGTCGTTGCTAGGCAGTTGCTAGGGTGTCCTGAGTGGTTGCTAGGTGGTTGCTAAGATGTTGCTAGGCGGTTGCTAGGCTGTTGCTAGGTGGTTGCTATGGTGTTCTGAGTGGTTGCTAGGTGGTTGCTAAGGCATTGCTAGGCGGTTGCTAGGGTGTTCTGAGTGGTTGCTAAGATGTTGCTAGGTGGTTGCTAGGGTGTTCTGAGTGGTTGCTAAGGTGTTGCTAGGCGGTTGCTAGGGTGTTCTAAGTGGTTGCTAGGTTGTTGCTAAGGTGTTGCTAGGTGGTTGCTAGGGTGTTCTGAGTGGTTGCTAGGTGGTTGCTAAGGTGTTGCTAGGTGGTTGCTAAGGAGTCCTAAGTGGTTGCTAAGCGGTTGCTAAGGTGTTGCTAGGTGGTTGCTAGGGTATTCTGAGTGGTTGCTAAGGCGTTGCTAGGCGGTTGCTAGGGTGTCCTGAGTGGTTGCTAGGTGGTTGCTAAGGTGTTGCTAGGTGGTTGCTAGGGTGTCCTGAGTGGTTGCTTGGTGGTTGCTAAGGCGTTGCTAGGCGGTTGCTAGGGTGTTCTGACTGGTTGCTAGGTGGTTGCTAAGGTGTTGCTAGGCGGTTGCTAAGGTGTCCCAAGTGGTTGCTAAGGTGTTGCTAGGTGGTTGCTAAGGTATTCAGAGTGGTTGCTAAGGCGTTGCTAGGCGGTTGCTAGGGTGTCCTGAGTGGTCACTAGGCCCTTATTAAGGCATTACTAGGCCGTTGCTAGGTGGTTGCTAGGCGATTGCTAGGGTAATTTGGATGGTTGCTAGGCAGTTGCTAGGGTACCCTGGTTGGTTACTAGGCAAGCCTCACATACATGCCTGATAAAACATTTATACTTAGTAAGCATTTCTAGCAAGTTACAGTACTTGGCTAGTCAATATTAGCATGTAGCTAATCACTGCTAGCATGTGTAGCATTTAGGAAGTTCCGTTTGCTAGCATAAGTCAAACGAGCCAATCTCCAAGTCTCTACGATGTTCTGATGCTGAGATATAGCTGTTGATGAATGGTTGCTAGGGTACTCTGTTTTGTTGCTATGGGCGAGGTTACAGAGTGCACTTGATTGTGGTTTGCTGTCTAAGTCAAATGAACCAACCCCCATGTCTCTATGACACTGCTATGCAAAGATATGCATCTTGGCCTATTTTAATGGAAGTCAATGGAATCAATTTGGGGGCGTGGCTTGTGAGCTTCATTATCATATTGAGATGCTCATTGGTTGTCTGAGTCAGATGAGCCATCCCCCAAGTCAATAGGACACTGCTAAGCAAAGATATGCATGTAGGCCAGTTATTAACATGAGTCTAGTATGAATTAGCATGTTACTAGCATGATTCTTGTACAAATTAGCATGTCATTAGCCTGTTTCCAGTATGAGTTAGCATGTCATTAGCATGATTAGCATATGAGTAGCATGTTGCTAGCATGATTGGCATGTCATTAGCATGTTAGAATTATAAGCATTTGAAAGCACAGCTAATTACAGTCTATAGGACAGTTGCTAGGGTGCAGTATGTGGTAGTTAGGGGTGTGGCTAGAAAGTTAAAAGGCCATTAGTGATTGGCTGCTGGCTAGACTGAGTTAAATGAGCTTAGCCATTAGTCTCTATGACAGTCTGATGCAGAGTTATGAGCTCACAAAGTTTGATCCCATGGAAGTCAATGAGAGTCTTTTGTAATGGAAGTCTACGGGACAGTTGCTAGGGTGCAGTATGTGGTAGTTAGGGGTGTGGCTAGAAAGTTAAAAGGCCATCAGTGATTGGCTGCTGGCTAGACTCAGTTAAATGAGCTCAGCCATTAGTCTGTATGACAGTCTGATGCTGAGTTATGAGCTCACAAAGTTTGATCCCATGTAAAGTCAATAAGAGTCTTTTGTAATGGAAG